ATGTCTTTGTTTCGGCTTAATATAAAATCAGTCAAAACTCCATATTNTGATGCGACAGGTAAAATTGTTGCTTATTCTAATATCTTTATTGAATATGCCATATACATGTTATAATACAACATCAACATTTGTTAATAGTTTAGGTGGTTTATATACACCAGTAATAATATCATCACCAAACCAGAAAGATACTCCTTTAAAAAAATTGTTACTTATTCAAATTACTTTTATTGAAGTTTACGATATATGTAATAATACAACATCAACATTTGTTAAGTTTAGGTGGTTTATATACACCAGTAATAATATCATCACCAAACCAGAAAGATACTCCTTTAAAAAAATTGTTACTTATTCAAATTACTTTTATTGAAGTTTACGATATATGTAATAATACAACATCAACATTTGTTAAGTTTAGGTGGTTTATATATACCAGTAATAATATCATCACCAAACCAGAAAGATACTCCTTTAAAAAAATTGTTACTTATTCAAATTACTTTTATTGAAGTTTACGATATATGTAATAATACAACATCAACATTTGTTAAGTTTAGGTGGTTTATATACACGGGTAATAATATCATCACCAAGGATACTCCTTTAAACTTACTAGCATACGATAAGTCAATCATCTTCTGAACCTCTCCAGCTGGTGTCCGTGGCCCTGATTCTGAGAGTCGAATTCCCCCGATCAATGACGTTTGGTGCCCATGAAGTCGTGGAATATCTCGGTTGATGATGATTTTGTAGTCGTTGGACGATGAACGGTAATACTGTGGCACTATCTCATCCACGACGCCATGCTGTAGATAATTTTCCCAGTCCACATTATGGTGAGATTGTGAAAATTCAATAGTAGACGGCGAGTAGGATACGATTGCATTTCTTCTTGCAGCTTTTACACTATTTTTAATTTGTGTCATAAAGTCCTCCATTACTCTATAATGTTGTGAGTGAGAAAGCGCGTCAACGTGGGCAAATCCACTTGGTAAACTCATATGATCATCATATTGAATACCATTTATTGCGTAGTTTCTGACCAGATCTGCCGTCATGTCTGTGTAAACGGCAGCGTTAGTTGCGTCACAATATACATAATTTCCACCAGCATGCGACGTGTACCCACCATTTCCAGTTTTTAAAAG